CACCCGCCCCCCGGGACAGCGTGGGAGCAGTACAGTAGCAGCCTGCAAGGGTTTATCGAGGCATCGCCGTGCCGCTGCCGGATCCGCAGCCCTGACCGGCCCCTGTGCCGATCAACAGTTAATAATTTAGAGGTGCTATAAAAAATTTAAAGACTTTGTCAAAATAGCTACTTGATCTAACCTATTTTCCCATAGCTCACCAATAGAAGAAATAAAAATAAAAAAAGCCCCCGAATCTCTATGTACAGACTGAGTATGCCGTATCGGTACAAAAATATACACATAATCTCTACAGATCCCAGCTCAGTAGATCAAAACACAGCTATAAATCACAGTGCACAGGACAGCATCAGGCCCAGGGAGCGATGATGTCCCCCCCCAAGAGCACGGCACACCACGGGCGCACCCCGGCATGGTGGTGGGGGGGTAGATCATCCTCTTGCCTCTCGGGGTCATTTCTGATCCAGTTTGCAGTACAGGTACATGGAAACCGCCATGGCCGCGATCTGGGGGTGGCAAGAGGCAAGTCAACCCCCCTAAGTGTTCCCCCCCAGTACAGGTTTGGGTCACAGCCCGTAGCATCCATCCCCAGCACACGCAAGGAGGAAAAGCTGGGTGTGCCCAGGGAAGAAGGCTCAGTAGCCACCCTGGGGTAGATGGTGGTCCACGGGGCTGCACCAGGTCCCTGCAGCCCCTCGGTCACCCAGGCTGGTCCCAGCCCCACTGCTCACCTCCAGGTAGAAGGAGGAGGCAGCACAGCTATGCTCAGGCACTCACCTCCAAGGCAGCGATGCCGGCTGCCACACCACCCACCGCACCTGCGTTAGTCTTGATTTCTTCCAAAAGCTGATCAAAACAACCCTGCAGGAGACAACCACGCGGGTGAGGATGAGCAAGGGGTAGCAATCCCCTAACCACTAGGGCTCAGCATCCCCAGAAAGGGAGGTACGGTTCTCCAGCCCAGAGCTATGCAGCCACCGAGAAGGTCTGGAGGCTTCAGGGGGCAACTCATCTCACCCAGTTTTCAGGCCAAAACACAGTATTGGGGGGGAGGAGGGGAAGAGGCAGGGAAATAGCCTGAAAAGGTAGCGTGGTGCCTGAGTTCATGCTCAGTCATGCCACCCTCCTGCAGAGCTCACTTTAGGACCAGAGCAACGGTAGCAGCTTTGCTTGTCTCCACCAGGGAGAAGCCAAGGCCACCACAGGATGCAAAGCCCATGGGATCGCTATGTCCAGAGCTGGGGCTGGAGGTGCAGGACAGGTCTTCTCTCCCCGTGCCAGGGCGCACACCCCAAACCAGGCTCTGTCAGAAGGTAAGAACTGCCAGTCCATCCATACCGGGACATTGCTTTCTGCAGCAAACGTTTCATTGCAGGGCTTCTTGTTGTCACAGCAGGGCTCTGGGTAGAGTCTGTAGTCATTATAGAAGGTTGAGTCGGTGAAGTCTGTGTAGTTATTCAGGCCACAGCAATGGACCTAAGAGGGAGAGAGAGGAAAGGATGGGGAGATCATCCTGCAGGTCTTCCTCCGGGGTCAGACACGGCCTGGACCCTGCTGTCCCACGGAGGGGGTCACCCAGCTCAACCTAGCTCTGGAGTAAGCGCTCAAAGGCCTTCTTGGGACCAGGGTTTTGTCCCAGACTCTAGCACATACAGCTCTCACCCCAGCAATGGGACCGCTAGATCCCAAGCACATAGGTCCCAGTCACCTGGGAAGCTGATGGGTGGTGACAGCTCAGGACATCCAGGATTGCAATGGTGTCCCCATTCTCATCCCAGTGGCCCACCCAGGTGTGGGACACCAAGCCTGTGCTGGGAGCATCCTGACACACACACACAGAGGAGGGGGGAAGGGGGTCAGTGCACCTCTTCCATGGTGACATTCCAGATGTGCGTGAAGCCAGCATCTTGCCCATACTTCTCTTTCAGGAGGGGGGTGACCACAGCAGTCAGCAGCGTCTCTGCCTGGAAGAAGAGGCAGAGAAACACCATCAGAGAAGGCCCTGGGGAGCACCACAGAGCCGAGAGTCCTCGTACTGGTCTCAGCCCATGGGGAGGAGACCAACCAGACCCAGCATGGCCAGGAGTGCGTCATACCGCGTCCCTTTGGCCCGAGGACAACTTGGCCCCTTCCACACTAACCAGTGCTTTACAGCACCGAGGCCACTTATGACCAGTGAATCATCTGATAAGCAGCATAACTGAGGGAGCCAGGAATTACTTTTGCCCTGCGGTTGACTTCTCCAGTGCCTAATGAGGCAAAGTCACCTTTCTCTCCAGGTGGTTTCGCAGGTGCCTAATGAGGGGTTGAGTTTGCTCAGCATGAAGCTTTAGGGACTTCCTCTCCCCTGTGGCTCCTACCATCAGAGGTGGAGAGGTGTCAAGCCTAGGCTGGTACTGGACTAAGGGTTTTGAAAGAAAGACGCGGGCAAAACTTGTACCAAATCCTCAGTTCTTTAGGGCAATGGGAATCCCTGTTCCCACCACCCTCACCCCAGCCCGGCCACCCCAGCCCACGCACATAGCTGGTGCCAATGGGGAGCAGCATCCCTTCCTCCCACAGCAGTGCCCACCTCTCATCTTCCCCATCCATGGGCAGCACCACCAGCCACCCAAAGTCCCCTGTTTTCCCCAAGGGGCTGGCCAGGTCCCAGATTAGCCCAACCCAAGACTCAGATATGCCACTCACAAGACCGGTGTAAACCAGAGCCACCACGGCAGCAGCAATTTCAGCAATGAAGATGATCAACACCACCGAGAAGAACTAGGACACAGCAAAGGGATGGAGGTCAAAGCAACAGCCAGAGTCCACAGGGCCCCCCAGGAACCCATCTGCTTCCCAAGGGCCAGCAGGACCCTCTCTCAGGGCTCAAGCCCTGTCTCATTGCCTTCAGCTCTGCTCCAAGGCAGAAGCAGCACAACCCTGGGATCCTCCAACCCTCCATCTGAATGGGGCTGACCTCTCCAGACATGCTCCAAGAGAGACCTCTGCTCAGCACCAGTTTCTACTTCCCTTCACCCTTGCTCAGGGCAGACTTTGGGTCCAGCATTGCCTTTGCAAAGCTCACCCAGCATTCCACCACATGATAACATCCAAGGAGGACATCTCCACAGAGAAATCGATGCCTCAGACCTCCCTCACCAGTGACCCAGCTCAAGTGAGGCTTGATAAGGAGATGTCAGGTCCATACCATCATCAGGAGACATTTGCTGTCCTTCTGGGCACCGTAGCACCCAAGGAAGCCGATTACCAGCAGGATGGCACCAATGGCGATGAGGAAGTAGCTCACATACACAACCTGAAGGACGCTAGAGGAGAGCGGCCCAAATATTTCCAAGAATGACTTATCATCCACTGTGACCCAGATGCCAACTCCCAGGAGGGTCCCACCACTGAGCTGGGAGGAGAGAGAGAGACAATGTCAGCTCCTGAGCAGGCAGAGATCTGGGATCTGGTGAAGGTCCTGGCACAGGCATTTGTCCCCTCTGCAAGTTTTCGCTGTACAAAACAAGACTTTGTGGCCACTGCAGGCTTGGGGCAGCCAGATGGGTCACTACCCCAAAACACACCCCACCACATCCCCAGCTGTGGCATCGCAGCTGCCCCCCTTCCCCAGCTCAAGGGGTTTCGGTGCCAGCAGTGGGGCAGAAACCCTCATGCAGGGCAGCCAAACCAGCAGCACCACCAGCCACTTCCTGACCCCAGCAGGGCCCACATGGCCAGCTCAGACACTGGCCACCGGCATGCTGCCACAAGTTCCTCCATCCGGGGAAGCTGCCCACTCACCCCGGGGAGCGGCTGAGCAGCCCCCGGACATTCATGCGTTCCTAGCAAGGTCAGCCCAGGGCCGCCTCCAGCTTGTCGTCCACTTGCTTGACCTTCCCCACCAGCCCCAAGACCCCACAGGAGCTTTAAGGAGGGAGTGCTTCACTAGGGCAAGCCCAAGGGCTCTACACCCTTCCTTCCCAAGGCCATATCCCACCACACCCCCTTCCAGGTGGCTCCATTGCTCCTGCAGAGCCAGCGTAGCTCTCGGGAGCTCCGCTACCCTTTGCCCTGGGTGGGAGCAGAGGCTGTGCGTGCTCTGGAGATCTCCAACATCCAAGAATCACAACACCACAAGCTGCTGCCACGCACACAGGTTGCTCCCCTACAGAGAGGGAGCCCCCCCCCAGGCAGGGACCCAGAAAAGCCCCCTGCTCTGGGGCACCCAGCACCACCCACCAGAGCTTCAGCACAGGGAGGGACATGGTGGCTGATGCAACAGCCACTGTCCCCAGAGTCCAGCATGGTCCCCCGGGCTTTGGCCGGAGCTGGAGAACAAGAGACCCCCACAAGCCCAGGAGTTAAGCCCTCAGCTTGGGGTCAGAGACCAGATCTCACACCATGGTCCCGGGAACAGGAGTCCCACCAACACCCAACTGCACACGTCACCCTCTCTGTCCCCAACAGAAGGGGGTGTGGAAGGTCAGGAGACCCCACACAGACAAGCTTCACCCACCCCATGCCCACCTCAGGGCGCTCCCCAGGAGCTGCTCTCACAGACCCCAGCCCCTCATCCCAGTCTCCTGGGGCAGACAGGGGGCATCCAGGCTTGCTCCCCCCCCAACCCCAGGCAGGGACAACCACTGGGGTAAACTTACAAATATGGCCAGGTTGAAGAGGATCATCATGACCTTGATAAAAGGGAAGAACCCCCTCTTTGCACCTGGGGAGAGCGGAGAGAAGTTATCAGAGGGACCCTCAACCCCAGCGCAGCCGCTGCCCTCCTGC